GCTTATGCGTTTTTTAGCTGTAATATCTCTCCATCTTTTCATTAATAAAAGATCACTTGCAGTAGCTTCTGATTGTTCCTCAACATATTTAAGCAGCGTAACATAAATTCGTATTAACGTATTATCCGAGTTTTTTCCGTATTATCCGAGCAACCGCCTCGGTTAATACAGAGTGCTCGGATGAATTCGGTGCCTCGGATTACGCGGAACGTCGGATAAACGAGGTTCTACTGTATAATTTTTTTAAAAGTTTTTTCTGATTATTTAGATCTTTATTGTAAGTGTCGACGGTTGCGATCGCGAGAAATGGTCTAAAAATATGAAATAAATCCTGGGATTTCGTTAAAATTATGCATTTTCGGGACAAAAAACTTCAATTATTGGACACGGGATCAACTGACTAATTCCAGGACTTTCCCGGAAATCCCGGCGATCTGGCAACTCTAAGTATAACTCATGCTGTATACAGATAGATGTGTTCGTGTACTTTTTTCTGAAAGTATTAATTTTACATTACAGAATCTAATGGCTATTGTTTAATATAGTTATTTTATTGGAAACTTGTCAATAATAAAATTACTTATATTTACAGTAGCGGTCAATGAAATGTACTCAGCAGGATTCTTCGAATAAAAAACCTAGTCTTTGATAAGTACTGTAAGGGTGGGAAGAATTAAATTAGGTTTATTTGAGTATATATAGATAATTAACACGAGCTAGGAATTAGTTCAAGTTCACACTTATTTTCAAAAAGTGTCGTGCAGTATTTACTAAGTCTCGCCATAAATTCTGTCAGTAATATTACAACGCTCCCCTGATAGAAAAATCACCATGGTGCTAGGCTGGCGCTAACTTACTTGCCCCACTGCCTGATAAGGAGCTAGTATGACATGCAGATTAGCGCCAGACACAAAATCATCACATTCTTCCAGTCTAATACCCGACTTAATCGACTAGTCAGGCGTTATCTAGCTCTAGTGTAGTGCTATCTAGCCGTGGCACGCTAGTTCTGATGTACTATCTAGCCATGATGTGGCGATAGCTAGTTCTCACGCAGTTCTTATTTTACTATATTAGAAGTAGTCTGGAGTAAACTAGCGCCAGGCTACTTCTAGTCGAACATTATTAACATAATATATTTCTAGCGCCTCGCTAGAAATAGCTTGACGCTGATTCGCGCCACGTCAAAACAAAATTTATTATATTAAATGGGGATACAACATGGACAGTCAAGATGGGAGCTAGCTAGACATCAGGATCTAGCATGGCACTTTCTACCAGGATCGATAACGCGTGAATTTTGATCGTCACAATGTGGCTACACGACAGGTGGGTAGTGTGTACGATGTAGTAAACGACCGCTAGAGTCAACTTCGCTCAGTATGTATCAAGGGATCTTTTGTATAAGCTGAATTAGTCTATATACCTGGAAAAGGCCTTTTATCTCTTCTTTCATATTACAATTATCGTGTAAAAGCTCATAGGAACAATTGCTTCTTCTTAGAAAGTAAATATTCCAGAAAATCTATAGGTGGATACCCGAGTACCCCGAGTGTGCTACAACGTAGGTAATTTCGGGTGTGCACATACGAAAGGGTTAAATAAACTGTACGTGTAGTGCTTGAACAAAATAAGCATATTTGAATCAAACTTATAAAAGACTTTTACATACTTGCACGCGGTTTTCTTTTTTCTATATCTAACAGTATAACAGGGAGGAAAAACAAAAACGGATCTAGAGAGTCATAGAAAACATAAAACATAGCAATGGAATGATATTATTCTTAACATTATTAAAAAATATTAATATGTAGTCGACTCGTCTACGGCTCTCAATAACGATCTGTTGTGCATGATCGATGACTCTTCTCACGATATAACTGATCATCGGAGAGTCGTTGCGGATCGATCGAGCTATTCGGATGTGTTTATTATTTACCTCGACAGGACTTGTACGGAGTGTATGAAGTTAGTCTCCCTTTTTTTGAAAATTATAATTCTGAGGTTACCCTGAGTCCCCGATTGTATCGAATAACACTGTAAGAACAACGCTTAGGGGTGAGCCTAAACTCACCCTGAGTCCTCGGCTAGACCGACCCGTGAAATCACACTGTTTCCACCGGACTTGTAACGTACTCGTATAATTTTCGTACTCGTATAAGACTGACTTTTCAACTCGACTGTTCACTTCGAGAGCTATTAAGCAAATATTGAAAGTTGTTCCAGGTTGTTCTAACTTTGTTCCACATTGTTCCAAAGCGATATTATTTTATTCCAAACGGTTCTCCAATAAAACAAAAAAAAACTATTTTTTGAGCTGGCCCCCCTTTTTTCAAAAATTAAACTATTCCTTATCACTATAGATTGTTCTAGTTGTTCCAAACATTGTTCCAAAAGGACAATTCCAATTACGCTCCAATAAAGTCAAAAATGCAACACCAACCAATAATATTAAAACTATAGCAATAATTCTAATGATATTCAAAATTATATAATTAATAAAATTACAAATTATTATTTATATTTTTTTTCAAACAAGTCGAACGAAAAGCCGTACAAGGTACGGGTCATCTCTGACGCTAGTGTATACGAAAAACTTGAAATATAGCCGTTGCTTCGAAGACGAACTGTAATTTTTCAATCAATCCGTTATTATTTTGCTACAAATAATTGTTATAATTAATTATTTGTTCCTATAATTGTTATTGTTATACGTGTGAAATTTTATACGTGTAGAAATTTATTAAGGGGCTACATACACCTAAAAATTTTGAAAAAATGCATTTTTTTGTTTTTTGCATATTCGAAAAGTATAAGGTCTTGAGAATATCCCCTGCAAGTTTCAAAGTGATTCCTTGAAAATTGTCGGAAATATAGCGAAAAAGGTCTAAGCGCGTATCAACGTTTTTATCGGAATGTCAAACTTTAAACGCGTTTTTCTCGAAACCATGTTTTCAAAACGCGTACCAGAAATATCTCGGAAACGGCTGGACCGATTTACTTGAAATTTGGAGAGCTTAATCTACACAAAAAAGACAGTCTTTATCGTGGCGGATTTTTAGAGCTCTTATTTTT